AAATGAGTGGAAATCATAATATTAATGATGTACTGGACAGTGTAAGTGCTTGTGTGTAAAGCAAAGAGTTTAAAACTGATTTATAAATAGTAAAATGTTTACAGCAGATTGTCAAAGCAGTGCAACAACTGTTCTCTTGCAAGTTTTTGCTAGTTTTGTGTTCAATAACCTCTTCTGCTAGTTTTCTCTTCTTCTCAATTTTACGCTCTATTTTGCTTTTACGCTCTCGCTGCAATGTTTTACTGGAGAAGTTACTATACAAACCTAATGTTACTCGCATACTTTCGAGCCTGTATGTAAATTTTCGGGAAAAAGGTTAAAAAGTATATTCATCTGCTGAAAAGATATTTTCGCAGATTCACAATTTATTTAAAATAAATCTATCAGCCCTATCTCCAATTCTATGTGTATAAATCTCTCCAGTGCTTAAATAATTTTCACCACATTAAATAGCTGCACAACACCCTAATTGCCGAAAAAGCGTTGCTTGCAACACTAGTACTTTATGGGGACCAAACTTGGCGAAAAAAAATAGCTAAGTTTGTTTACTGGATATACTGAGGTTTGTACTGTTCAACTTTCACAGGCGGTTAGTTGAATCAAAAGTTCACATCATTTAACTGAATGTTGAAGAATGTAAACTCCTTTTAAATACAATAAGGGTATTCATCAAACCTTATAAATGCATTGTAAACCGTATAAACTTATAATTGTGTAAACCTTATAAATGAACTGTCAAAATTTGTATGGAAACTCGTTTACACATTTCTGATAAATTTATCCAGCGATTTCACTGAATAAACTTGATAAACTGAAGACAATGCAACTCTGTCGCAACTCTAGCTATGTTTTCTTAGGCAATAATCGGGATCCGCATACAAATTTTGCACGCAAATTCAACAACGATATGATCCTGATAGAGATCTGGTTCAATTATTATCCCGTCTGTTTGTTTTGTTTCACTGATAATTCGCAAAGTTTGGTAGCCGTGACAAATGAATTCATACACAAACAGACATTCTGCCATTGTTTCTTATAACTTGCTTCAAATAAATAGCCTTTATGTTATATGTACATTTATTTAAATAGATATCTCGTAAATANGTAGTATAAAGTTAGTGACACTGCGCTTTATAACCAAAGAAAACACGACTATTGTCGCATGTGTAAACGAAAAGAGTGTGTGGGTCGTTCATGTAACAGAGTGCATAAACTTATAAGATTATCTGCTTGATAAAGTTATCGGTTTAGATAAATACCACTAATGATTATGTACGATTATGAAATAATAATATTCTGAACGAAATTTTTAGAAAAGTTCATCACTGCTAAAAGACTTGGAAAGGAGGACAAGGAGGACATTTTTGCTCAAAAGGAGGACAGAGAAGGACAATATTTTTGAGGAGGACAATCTTCAAATAATCGATTTTAGAGTACCGATTCTAAATTTTCGGAATCGATCGAGAATCGATTCTGAGAACTCGATTCTCGTATTTCTCATACATACGCATCAGTTGCTAGAATTGTGGAATTGTGAAATTTCTGGTATGACTACTATAAATGTTAACCCTTCTGCAGTGTTTGGAATTTACCCCTTCCTATATTGGTTTGGGTAATTTTGACCCAATAATAGAAATTAGTAAAATTAAAAAAAAAAAACGATATTTCAATATGAATTCAGTTAATAATTTATTTATCACATGCAGGCACTTTATCGGCAAGTGCTGTATTCTGACCGGTTCAAAGATGCCCTTAAATACTAAGTAATAATTTGGATCAAAATGACCCAGAGGCACTATGGGTGTATGAAAAAACTATGTTTCCTTCTAGAAAACAAAATAAAATAAAAAACCTTTTTATTTTTTGAAAAACCATCGCTGATTATGCCTTTAACGAATTGCCCAACGCTGTAATTAAAGAATTTGTTCATGAAAATTGGGTAATTTTGACCGAAATATTGCAGAAGGGTTAAGTAGGACTAATTGGCGCATATTCATAGAGATTGTAGAAATTAAGTAATTTTAAGGATGGGATTCAAATTTATTTACTTTCCATATCAAACAGTACCGTGAATATGTGTCAATTACATATTTTATAGCAAATAAAGCAATTTTTGCACAAATATATTGTTAAAATTTATTATTAAAACTCTTTACAATAATAATAGTTGATTCATTCTATTTAATAATATTAATTGCTATAATTGATGGCCGTTTTTATAGATTTTTCAAGTGAAAGAAAGATTGAAATAAAGAAACGATTAGAATCGAATAATTCGAATCTCGCCGTCGATTATCCGATTCCCTGCAAAAAATGGCTGACCATATCGAAAAGAAACTATCGATTGTACACTGACAAAATGTACTGCAATCGATAAGAGAAAGAGACAAGACAATGAAAAACGTGCGTTTTCGTACTGCTTAGCCTTTCGCGCATGCGTATACATACATAAAAAAAAATTAAAATTTTTAGCTGTGCTGCAATATATTGAAAAAGTGGGTGCATTTAAAAGAAATGACTAATAAAATCAGCGTATTTAATTTGCAATCTAAAAAAATTAACAAAAAAACGTTTTCTAACTCTATGTGGATAGAGAAGAAAAAGTTTGAGGCCAGTGCGGCGAAATACAAAAAACTTTCCGAATTCGCTAAGGCCGACTGTGGAGGTAGTGACTCCATTGGTGAAACCCAATGCAACGCCAACCTGGGAATCCAGAAAAACCTAGAAATGGAAGCAGAAGGACCAAACGCCGCTGAGGAGTTTGTCTTTAGCGACGGAAATTCAGAGTCCAATGAAGAATATTCTGAGCTCAGTAGCTCTGAAAAAGCTTGTGAAATTAAATCATGGGCAATTAGAAACAATGTATCGCAAGTGGTTTTAAATGATTTATTGAAGACGCAAAATAAGACTTGCCCCTGTCATCAAAAACCATCCTTGAAACAACAAAAGAAAGTATAAATGTGCAAGATATTCCTGGAGGAGAGTTTTTGTACATTGGAATTCAGTCCCATTTCCACTCAAAAACATTCCACTTTCTAAAAGATATTGATGAAGTTTGCATCGATGTAGGTATTGATGGCTTAAAACTTTTCAAAAACTCTAATAGAGTTTTGTGGCCGATTCTCGGCGCAATAGTCGGATTTCCGAAAGAAAGCCCATTTACCATTGCCTGTTTCGCTGGAAAACAAAAACCATCTAATATAAATTGTTTTATGCAGGAATATTGTGAAGAAGTTGTTCTTTTAAGAGGAAATGGTTTGCAAATGGGATCACTGAATCCAGCTCTAAAAAAATTTAATATTCGGTTGTTTACTTGTGATTCACTAGCACGTGCTTTTGTTTGCGGTGTTCAAAGTCATACTGGAAAAAATAGTTGCCCCAAATGCTCTCAAGTGGGAAAATATGTACAAAAGAGAGTGTGCTTTTCGAAGCAAGTAGGGCAATTAAGAACAGACGAATCTTTCAGAAATAGGGAGGATGAGGCACATCATAGTTTGACATTTTTAGAGGGAAATATATTGCAAAAAGCGGGCTTTGGAATGGTATCCCAGATCCCATTAGATCCCATGCACCTTGTTGATCTCGGCGTGGCAAAGAAATTGCTTCAATTCTTGCTGAAGAGAGCTGATATAACAAGAATGAATAAAAAATTTTACTTTGTTTCCACTTGGGTGCCATCAGAGTTTGGTCGGGTGTGTAGAAATTTAAATGAAATCAGCAATTGGAAATCCACAGAGTATATTTATTAAGAGTATTTATATTAAAAGATTGCATTGCTGATGATCTCTACTACACTTCCTTTTACTACATTCGGGAATACGAATTTTATCATCTGAAAGATTGTATAAAACAAAAGCAAATGTGGCTCAACAACTGCTAGAAGACTTTGTTGATTTGTTTGGGAACATTTTTGGTGATCACGTTATAAGTTTTAATGTGCACGGTTTGCTGCATTTATCTCAATGCGCTAAAGATATGGACCCTTGGACAATTTCTCCGCGTACAAATTTGAAAATTAGTTGCAATATTTGAAAAGGCTTAATAAAAAACCTACAAACATTCTGCAGCAGTTATTTCTAAGACTCGACGAAAGGAAAAATGTAGAAATGCCTAAAATCACAAAATTTGGTTCCTTCGAAATAGATCCAAAAAAGGAAAAAGATTCGTTTTGTTTCAGTCCAGTAACAGGACCTTTCAAAATCGTTGAAACTTCAAGAGAATTGGGGCAGGATGTAGTATTAGGATATGCTTTTGAACAAATTAATAATTTGTTTGAGGAACCGCTTAAATCTGTATCTGCACTTGGTATATTAACGGCAGGTCAATTGAGCAATGAAAAGTTTAAAATCCGCAAATCAGATATTCAATATAAATTTTTAGTATCCCATACAATAATGAGTTTCTTTTGATCCCAATTCTACACCACTTATTTTACGAGTTTTCGAACTAATCATTTAAAACCCCCACATATACATACATATCTATTTACTTTACTCAAATAATATCGCTATACAGTTCCAATCGCCAAACTTAAAAACCTTAAAAAATCGAAAATGGACTTAAATAATAATCCCAACGGCTCACTGAAAGGTAATGCTATTGAACAAATTTAAAAACATTTTTTTAAATGATAAACAAAAAAAAAATTATATTTCAGAACAAAAACGAATTTTCGTTATTGACCGAAAAAAATTGAGGACTACCACTACTTTTAATAATTCTGTACCATACCCTGGGACGCATAAAAGTAAATTTTATATAGAAGTGCTTACGTTTTAACTTACATATATTAAATTTTTTTTTATATAAATAGTTGACATAAGATCGAAAATGCTTTCTGTAGTTCCGCCCACCTCCCAACCAGGAATAATGCCATCCAATACTGTTGCCAAATCTTCAATTGGTACCGACTCCTTTAATTTATTGACAGCAAGGACCCAAGGCACAGGAAGTTTTACATCAGCCCATTTGACAGAGGCTTTTTCTACTGCTAATCATTCTGCTGTGGCGAAATACGTGAAACTTCCTTCAATTTCCACTTCCATAAAAGGTAATACCTATTTGATATAAATAAAGGAATATTCTCTAATTTTTCTTACCTTTTTCAGACAATCTTAGACAAGTTGCAGTTGATCAAGCAAGCTGTCCAGTTGAAACCGAAACTGCTTACCCCAAAACTGACAATATGACAGCTTCCAGAACTGCCAGCCATCCCACTTCATATAGAGAAGGTATTAAAAATTAAATTTCTTAGTTTTTATTATTATTTTTTTAAATGCAAATTAAGCAGTTTTTAATGATCGGCTAAGCACATCTGTGGGTTAACGTACCGGTGATTATCCATTTTAGTGAACGTAGGCACAACTGCCGTGGGAACGTCAAGAAAAGGTCCACATGGTACCTACTCGACTCGACTGGCAGTATCAAAAATCCGATGGTTGTTTTTTAGATCTCGTACACGCATGAAACTAAAACAAAAATTTATGAATTTTGAATTCTAAGCGTAAATGTCAAACTCACGCATACGGATACGCATGCTATGGAGCTCCGCCTTTATCCGCTTATATGGTGAAAAACCTTTTTTTCATATACGCACTCTACACAATTTTTTACTAAAACTCATGCATTTTAACAGATTATGATTTGTTTAATTGAGTAAAGTAATATATGTAAAGTGTTTAGCGAATTTACATGATTCAACATTCACCAGCGATTAGTTGAAACAAAAGTTTAACCCAAGTAGGCAGCTGACCAACTTCATTGAAAGCGATTAGTTGAAAGGCCATTTACACCATTCAACTGCTGCATTCAACTAAAAGTTGCCTGTAAAATCGCCTCATGTAAATTCCCTATTAAATATCAACAACATTATCAATATCTTCTTGATATATTAAAATGTAAACAAAAACACACACTCAAATGAAAATTTAGAAGACGTTTGGTATTGCCACTTTATTTAAATGAATCGGTAAAACACATTCATTATAAGGTGTCCACAACTACGATTTATTAAACACCTTCATTATAAGGTGTTCACATTATCCATTCATTAAGACCGATTTATTTTACAGCTCTTACTCAGATTATCGGTCTATGCAACACCATTTTGGAGAGACAAAGCAAGGAGGCTAAGGTCGATGATTTGCAAAAGAAGATAACCGAAAATGTAAGCAGTTTACTCATTTTCGTATAATATTATCAGCCCATAATGAAATAAACATACGGTTAATAAAATTTAAATACTAAATTAAACTAAGTTTACATTTTCAAGATTTTTTATGTATACGTCTTTTGCGAAAGAGGATTTTGAAGTCCTCAATTCATATTTAAGAAGTCATTTTCGTTTTTCAAAATAAATCTTGATATTTCAGATGCCAGATCGATGCGAGGGGGTGGCTCAGCAAAAAACTCTTCGAGAATGCAAAGTGCTAATCAAAAAGGTGCATCAGTCATTCTGTCGAATAAATGGGGGCGCTGTTACTGAGCTCCAATTGGAAATTTCAGATGTTCTCCCATTAAAAACCATTGACGCATTGTTTGATGTGGAGGAGAAACTGCAAAGCAATGAATATAAAGAGGAAATGGTATGAACGAAATAGAGTTAATTACATTATTTCTATACTCTAGGTGTTCTTATAACGGACCAATAATGTG